ATCCAAAGCTCGGCTGTCTGACACCTGGAGGCTGGGCCACCGAGCCCTCTCTGTCCCAGCCCGTGCGGAGGGGGCTGGAGAAGCCGGGCCAGGGGAGGCTGTGCCCTTGGAGCCCAGCCGTTGTGACCCGGGGCTCATGGCCGCCCTGGTCGCTGCCCAAGGCACAGCCAAGGCTGCAGCCTTTCCACCCCAGTAACTTCTGCTGCCATGGCAACCATAGCCGAGCACCTCCCGGACCGGGGCTGAGTGAGCAGCGGGCGGGTGGGCGGGCAGAGCACAGGCTGGGGCAGGAGAGGCCCTGTGTGGAGAGGAAGCAGCCAGGCGCCCGCCCTGGGACGCGAGGTTAGTCTCGGGCGTGGCCCCTCACCCTTGGTCCTGGGCACCAGCGGCTGCCCTCGGGTGAGCTGAGAGTGAGCACGAGGTCCCCCAGGTGACGCCAGATGTCACCTGTGAACTGGGGACTCTGGTCCGGCTCTGGTTCCTCCCCACACAGTTAGCACTGGGCCCAGAACAAACCCAGGGCCCCGCGCATGCTAAGTAAGCACCCCACCACAGACGTGCAATACCAGGCCCTGGGGATTTCAATTTTCTAGCTGCCAAAAAAAAAAAAGTATGATGGTGCATGCTTGTAATAGCACAAGGAGGCTGAGGCAGGAGGCTCACAAGTCTGAGTCCAACTTGGGCAATGTATGACAGCCCTGTCTCAAACTGCAATGAAAAGGAAGGCCTGGGTGTAGCTCGGTGGTGGATACCCTGGCTGGCATGTGCGAGGCCCTGGCTCGGGTTGCCATTGCCGGACTGCACGCGTTCAAATCTCACGTCTATTACCGTCCACCTTGGCGACTCTCTAACCTCTGTCCCTGATTCTCGGTGACGGCGCCGGGTGGTGAGGGAGGCCCAGCTCCCATCACCTCACCATAACCAGAGTGCAGGCCCTGAGAGGCGGGAAACTCGCGTCTCTGTCCCTGTTCTGCAGGAGGAAATGGGGCCGGAGCGGGCCGGGGCTGCCCTCTTCCCCAGTGGGGGAGTGTGATCTAGGGACCCAGCCACTCTGCTCTGGCCCTGGGAGCAGGAGTGGGTGGCTGAGCTCACCACACCCGCAGGAAGATGTCTGTGTAATTATTTGGAGACATTTAATTTTGCTTTTGGTTTTTTGAGACAGGGTCTCACTACATAGCCCAGGCTGGCCTTAAACTTGTGGCATCCTCCTGCCTCAGCCTCCCGAGTGCTAGAGTCACAGGCATGCGCCACCGCGCCCTGCTGAAGATGTTTAATTTTGATGTAGAACATGTGAAAATTTTACAAGGACGCAAAGCAGAGAGAAGGCAGGAAAACTCGTCGCCTGCGTGTGTTTTCTCTCTCCTGTGCTCATTCTTTGCTGCCGAGGGGACGTCTGGGTGTTTACGTCCTGCAGTCCTGCAGCATCGCTTCCGGGCTGGGCACCGGGCAGACGCAGTGGGGACTGAAACAGACCCCAGCTGCCCAGGAGGGCCAGGCCCCTAATGTGACCGTGGCCCAGCCGCACTCAGCACCAGGCCCCTGGCTCACTGTGGGCACAGCAGGCTGCCGAGGGCAGGGTGGGCTCTCGGGGTCTCCTCTCAGCGTCTTGGCCGTCAGTGACCTTCGCCTGCTCCTGCCCAGCCTGAGCAGCCAGCGTCAATCACGGAAAACTCCAGATATCTGGGGGTTTCCTGTCCGTTAGACAATCTGCTGCCTCCAGCGTGGATGGCCCAGTGTTTGCCTTGTCCTGTTTCCAAGCCTTTCTTGTCTGGCTCTGAGAGCCAGCGTGGCCGGAAGCTCCTGTCCCTCTTGCCCCCGGGCCATGCATGGATAGCTGCATATCACCCCTTCGTCCTCCCTGAGCCTGCCCCGGGCTGCTCCCCATTCCAGTCGCAGGAGCCGGTGAGCCGCAGGCTTGGTGTCAGGCCCGTGTCATGTGGTCAGCCGCCTCCACGCCCAGCTCTGATGCGTGGACCTGACCTCTGTGGACTGTGCCACACGGGGCTCTTGCTTTTCTTCTTTTTTGTGACTTTGAGACAGACTTGCTACGTTGCCTAACTGTCCTTGAGGATGGGACCCTCCCGCCTCAGCCTCCCAAGTAGCTGGATCATGGGTACGTGGCACTAGGCAGGGCTATTTCTTGGGGACAGATTCTCAGCAGTGGGAACAGAGTCTGCTTGCGTGGCTAGTTGCTGGGGCCATTGTTGAGCTGGCGCACATGCTGGCAAGCCCTTGGCACTGACCCGGGCTCCTCCAGGGCTCCCAGCCAGCACCCACAGCCCACGCACGTCCTTTCTGCCCACACCTGGCCAGTGAGGGTCACGCGGCTCCACCTACCCAGCTGTCGGGAGGCAGAGAGGGGACTTTCCCAACACCGCTGGGGCCCAGCACGGTGCCCCGGGAACCCCAGGGCCCTGAGGGTCCCGGCCGAGCCTGCTGGCCCACAGCTGGCAGCTGGGGCTCACTTTCCTCCAGAGCCTTTGCCGCCTCCGCTGCATCTCTGCCCACAGCACCATGGGCCTGGCTGACGTAGACTCCACAGAGGACTTTTCCTCTTTCTTTCTTTCTTTCTTTCTTTCTTTCTTTCTTTCTTTCTTTCTTTCTTTCTTTCTCTTTCTCTCTTTTCTTTGGCAGTACTGGGGATTGATCCAAGGCTGGGCTGGAATTTGCAATCCTCCTGCCTCAGCCTCCCACAGAGCCCCATTTTCTCAGACTCTTCTCCAGAGGCTCCTTAGGGCTCCTGGTCCTGCTGTCTCTGTGCCCCTTCATGCCCCTCCCCTGGAGTCAAACTTAGATGGTCTTCCCCAGGTCCTGACCCCTCAGGGCCTTTGCTGACGGCCTGACTTGGAGACAGTTGTGCTTGCGGCTGGCAGCTTCCTACTCACTCTTCCAGTCAGTCAGTCGATCAACAAACAATCTGCTGAGCTCCTCGGGGCACACACAGTTGACCTTGGCCACTAGGATTTTCCTATCTGGTGGGAAATACATGTGACTTTGTGCAAGAGAAAGTGGTGTCCCAGAGTCAGAGAGTAACAGTGCAGCACTGAGCCACAGCTACACACACACACACACACACACACACACACGCACACACACACATGCACGAGAGCAGCCAGTGCCCTAGGCCTCCAACTCTCCCACAAACCTCACAGGTGCACAGGCCGTTGCCATGGGAACGGAGACCCTGCAGTCCTCTCTCAGGGGCCTCTGAAGCGTGGCCTCTGAAGTGGCTCTGAATCCTGCGTCACTTCCCTGGGCGCCAAGCCGGGCAGGTGTGTGTGCGCGGCATGTGTGCACGTGCGCGCCCAGGAGGTGTGAGCTCAGGGTCTCCTGGGCAGCACCAGTCTGAGTCTTCTGCCACTGTGCCGGGCAGGGCCATTTGCGGGGCTCAGCCATGGAGGACCGTTCTCGCTCAGCAGGACTCGCATGGGCCCAGCCCACCCTGCCTGCTCACAAAGCAGCGCGGAGCCAGCACCTTGGGGACAGATCGGCCCCAGTTCTGCCCTTGGCTACCATGAGGGAAGCGATGACACCATGGCAGGGGCTGGGGACGACTGAGCCAGGCCAGCATGGCCAGTGTGACCACTGTGAGGGAAGCGATGGCCTCCGGTCAGGGGCAGTGGGCAGCGGGCACCAGGGTGCCACCCTCCACTCTTCCTGCCAGGCCTCCACCCACAGGACCCACAGAAGCCAAAAGGCTAGGAAGCTGCTAGGCTCTGCCTCTGGCAGAGGGGACAGCGACTCTGGAGGTATAGGGAAGGGAGTGGGATGTTTCCAGGACCCACAGTGGGCCCTGGCCTCCCGTGAGCCACAACAGCACAAGGCTAATTATAGACAGGAAAGGAGACAGAGAGAAGCTGGGTCTTGGGACTGATCAGTGCTGCTGATGGCAGCAAAGACAAAGGCCCCCAAGCACATCCATTATTTACTGAATACAATCGTCAGAAGGAACAGGGAGCTAGGGAGCTTTGAAGGCATCTAGTGAAACACTCTGAACACCTGGCATGATGGTGCCAGGCAGGGCTGTCAGGGAGTAGGCACTGCTTATCTTGCTAGGATAGAAGAAATGGGTACTGGGACGAGGCGCAATTAGCAAGCAACCCACAAGGTTAGGAAGAAGCCATAATTCAGGGAAAAGGGTTTTAATTGGGGTCACACTGACCTCAGCTGCACATAACTCAGCAGGGCCCTGCCACTTCACAGGCCAGGACTTGGGCCTCAGTGACAGCCATCAGCAAGAGAGAAATGCTAGCCCAACTCTGCTAGCTGACACGCCCATGTGAGTCATGCAGGGCTTCAGTCTGATTCCTGATATGAAACAGTACAGCCGAATTAGGGAAAGCAAGAAGCATGTGCCACTCACAGCCCGCTATTACTGGGACATCTGCTACATGCAGAATCAAAAGGACTGTGCCTGGCAGGGACAATCAGCTGATCCCTCAGCCTCCCTTTTGGTGAATACCTGCACCCACTTGCCGTGCTGGCAATTGCAGCGGGCAGAACAGGTGCTGGCAAAGGTGCTCTGTCCTCTAACCGCACTTCACGGTCCCTGGGCCCCAGCCCGCAAGTCCCAGGTACCCACGGTGTGGGGGAAATGCCTGGATTCTCCAGGCTGTGCTTTTTCCAAACCTCCTCCACTTCTCAGCTTCTGGGGCATCTCATTTCAGCCCCATGATGCTTTCCCGGGGCACAGCCGTGTTGTGGGTCTGGCCCAGGAGGGAAGGCCATGCCACTCCAGGCTGGGCAGTTTGCCCCTGGCCTGAAGGTGCCAGTTGCCCCAAGCCAGGACAGAATCTTTCCAAAGCCAGGCTCCAGGAAGCCCCCAGCTTCAGGCACCTCTGGGCCCCAAGCCCAAGGCTGCTCACCCCGGCTCTGCCCCTTCCTCTCAGGTCTGCTGCCCCCAGCCACACCCTCACCCGGCCAGCACAATGCCAGCAGCAAGGCCCCTGAGCCAGGTGAGAGCCCTCCTGCTGGGGCCTCTGGGGAACGGGCAGAGGGGGATGGGGCCCCTGACTTCAGGCAACACTGCTCCTCCTGACCAGGGTGCAAGTCCCCTCAGATTCCCGGAGAACGGAGCTGAGAGCCAGGAGCCAGAGCCACAAGGGGGACCCTAGAGGCCGGGTTCTGTCACTCCGGCCGGCCCCAGCCTGGCCTCCAGTCGCCCTCGGGTGCTCTCTCCTGACTGCAGGGTGCCCGGAGGGTCAGTCCCAGGAGCCTCTCTCTCAGCCCCATTGTGAAGGCGGGAGCGGGAAAGGTGTGGGCGGGGCCGTCAGCCAGACCTCTCCCTCCAGGGGCATGGCCGGGGCTGCGCCTGGCCAACTCCAGCAGCCACTGCCTCGGGGAGGTGCAGGTCCGCCTCGGAGCCACCTGGGCACCCGTTTGCGGGGCGCAGTGGGACCAGCAGGCCGCTGAGGCCGTGTGCCGCGCCTTGGGCTGTGGCGGGGCAGAGGCGACCCCTGAGCCTGAGCCCGGGAGCCCCGTGGGCAACACCAGTGTCACCAACGCCACGCGTGGACCTGCGCTCACCATCTGGTGCCAGGGCCCTGAGTGGAGCCTCTGCGAGGTGGTGGAGGACGCGTGTGGCATCGACGTGAGCCCAGCCAGCGTCACCTGCACAGGTATGAGCGGCCCCTGCGGCCCCAAACCCAGCCTGGCTGAACACTTCCTGACCCCTGCAAGCTGGGGCCCCCCACCAGGGACTGGGTCCCGCACCCCACCCACGCAGAAGACTCCCACGAACGCTGGGCCCCGCCCCTGCGAGCCTACCCCTGCAGCCCTACCCCTCCCCTGCGAGCCGGGACCCCACCTCCCAGGCCCCGCCCACCGGCCGGCCCCGCCCACCTCCCATCCCTCCCCAGAGGCCCGCGCCCTGCGGCTGGTGGGTGGCGGCAGCGCATGTGGAGATGCTGGAGGGCGGCGCGTGGGGCACTGTGTGCGACGACGCGTGGGACCTGCAGGACGCACACGTGGCGTGCAGGCAGCTGGGCTGCGGCTGGGCCGTGGAGGCCGCGCCTGGCCTGCGCTTCCCGGCCGGCCGCGGTCCCATCCACCGCGACGTGGTGACCTGCGGGGGCCACGAGGCGCAGCTGTGGGACTGCGAGGGGCGGCCGGGCGGCTACTGCGGCCACAAGGAGGACGCGGGCGTCGTGTGCTCAGGTGAGTAGCGGGCGGGCCCGAGCCGGAGGACGCTGTGCAGCCCCGCGAGGGCCCAGGGTGGGTGCGGCCAGGGGGAGCTGCTGGCCTTCCGGCGAGACCCGGTTCCGGTCCGGCCTGAGCCTGTGTCGACCTGCGGGTGTTAAACGTGAACAACGACCTGGCACCGGGTCAGGGCCGCCGATGCCGCCCAGGTGCTGGTCAGGAAACCCCCCGTGGGGCTCCAGGTGCTGGTCCCGAGCAGGGGTGGCCAGGCAGGTGTGCAGGTGGGAGGGACGCGGGCTCCTGTGGGGCCCGGGCTCCGCACCTCACAGAGCCCCGTCCCGTCCCAAGAGCACCAGTCCTGGCGCCTGACGGGAGGCGGTGACCGCTGCGACGGCCAGGTGGAGGTGCAGTTCCGCGGGGTGTGGAGCACAGTGTGTGACAGCGCCTGGTACCGGCCCGAGGCCGACGTGCTGTGCCGGGCCCTGGGCTGCGGACTCGAGGTGGACCGGCCCCCGGGGCAGGCTCACTCGCTGCCAGGCAGGATGTTCTACTCCTGCACGGGGGAGGAGGCCGCGCCCTCTCTCTGCACCTGGAGATTCAACAATTCCAACTTGTGCAGCCAGTCGCGGGCAGCCAGAGTCCTCTGCTCAGGTACCTGGCCCTCCGCGACCCCAGGTTGGGACCCCAAGTTCTGTCTGAGTCTGGTGGAGCAGGAACTGCACCCTCCCTTCGCCCAGTGGGAGCTGGACAAGGCATTAGGGCTGAGTGCCTAGCAGAGAGGGAGCCACTGGGCTCCCCAGGGCGGGCGATCCTGGAAACCGCAGCGTTAGGAGACCGGATAGCCGCCCGACGGCCTCCTCGTGGCCGGGCAGTGCCAAACACCGCAGCTCCCTTCAGCCCGGCCTCGGACACGGAGGCGGTGTTGATTGTGAGCCAGGCAGCATCCCAGGAATCAGAGAAAAGCAGGCGCTGCTGGAGCAAGCTCATGGTGGTGTCAGACGTAGCGAGGTGACTTGGAGGCGTGTCTGGGTCCCAGCTCTGTCGTTTACAGAGGCCCCTTAGCCTCCAGTTTCCCGGAGATCCCCTCACACCTGCCGGGCTGGGGTGTGCTTGCTCCCTGTGAGAGAAGGGTGGGGCCTGGGGCCCACATACCCCATCCCTGAGGCCCTGGGAACACCCGGGGTCCATGTGCTGCAGCAGAGGTACAGAAAGGAGGGAGGATTCCTCCACTAGATCCGCCTTCTAACCAGAGCACCCGGGCCTGGAACCACGGGCTCCCCGTTGCTGGGCAGGGGTTTCCTGAGCCTGTGCCCCAGTTCCAGGCCCCTTGCCCATCCTACTGGGTTCCTGGCACCATCCCTGGCTTGTAGTAGGTGCTTATGGGTGTGCAAGTGAGCAGGGTGCTTTCTCCCAGGTTCCCAGACACCACACAACCTGTCCTCCTCCCGAGGCCCATTGAGCGTGCAGCCAGCGACTGTCGGTGAGTGCTGCTTCCCGAAGAAGTCCGGGCGTGCATGCGTGTGTGTGTGCACGTGTGCCCGCATGTGTGTGTTCGTGCATACGTGGGCACACGCGTGTGGGTGTGTGCATGCCTGCCCAAAGGAGGACTGCTGGTTTGTCCCCGACCCTCCCAGCCACGGGCCCTGCCCCCAGGGCTCTCTGGGGGCTCTGTCTCCCCGATGACCTCCCAGACCACAGCTCCCAGGTGCCCCCACTGTCCTGGGGGCTCCTCCCGGCAGGCGGCAGGCAGAGCAGGCTGGGGCCCTTGAGTAGGTGTTGGGGTGCCTGGCGGCAGCCGCTGTGTTCTTGAGGTTCAGGCTCCGTCTTCGCCTGAGCTTCTCCTCTGGGCGCCTCAGGCTGCGCCCTCATGGCTGAGGTTGGGGCTCTGGACCCCACATCCGCGGCTCTGCCCGAGGACCCACACGTGGCGGCCCCAGGGCCAAGGCTGTGGCCCCAGCTGTGCCCCTCGCTGAGCCTCAGCCTCCTGACTTCGAGGCGCAGTTGTGGCAGACTCCTCTCCCGGCACCGCACCGGCACCGCTCTGCGGCTTCAGGGAATCCACTTTAACACAGCTCCGGGTGGGCGTGTCGCAGACCCTCAGAGCGGCTGCTGCCGGGCCCGGGGTGGGCCCAGAGGTGTGGGAACCGCAGGCTGTAGGGTGAGCGCCTGCAGGACCAGAAGCACCGAGGCCCTTCCTGAGGCAGGTTAGGGACAGGGACCCTAGATGCCCCTCACATACACGCTTCCGGCTGCAGACCCACCGCCGCCCCAAGCTGCTGCCTCTGCAGACCGAAAGGGAGGCGCGAAGGAGGCCAGGGAGGTCAGTCTTGCCCGGCCGCCATCCCTGCCCTTCCCCAGGCCGACCTAGGACTTCTGCCTTCGAGGAGCAAGTGGCCCCATGTCTCCGCCACCTCTGCCCGCAGCAGGGGTGAGGGCCAGGGCAGCTGCGTGGAGCTCTCCTGGGCGCCCTCCCTGGAGAAAGCAAGGTGCCCTCGGGCCGATGCCCCCGCCTCTGCCCGCCCTCTGGGCCCCGAGACAGAGCCCCCAGGCAGTGAGCTGCTGCCACGCTGCTTCCCAGGGCCGAGGGCCCAGCACTCGCAGTGCTCAGTGACTGTCTGCTGAGCAGCGTCTTAGTCACCTTCCTGTTCAGGGACAACACCGGACACCCACAAAGCCAAGGATGAGCGGGTGGTCTCAGGTCATGGATTTTAGGGATGCAGTCGGGGGTCGGCTGGCTCCAGGCAGGAAGCCTCGGTGGAGGGGTCTGGCAGAGGACAGCAGCTTAGGGCGTGGTGGACAGGAAGCAGCAGGAGGGGGTGCTGCCTGGAGGACAGGGCCTTGAGGGCTCGCCCAGGGACCGCCTCCTCCTCCAGGCCCCGCCACGTAGTCACCTTGCAGCAGGACACGAGGCCCTGGGGGACATCTGGACACAAAACACGGCAAGGAGCCGAAGGCTGAGGGAGAAAGCCCCACGGGCCCGGCCGGTAGCGGGCAGTAAACTCACTGTGGGTTTGCTGAGCTCCTGCTCTACACCAGGCGTCCAAAAGCAGATGGGGAACAAAGGAAGCGGGAGGAGGGTGGAGAAGGGCAGCGGGTCAGCTGCTGAGAGGCAGAAGGCAAGCGGGGTGCGGAGAGGCCTCTGTCCGCTCCCTGTCCTCCCTGAGTGGTTCCTGTTTTCAGAATCTCCGGTGGTGGTGGAGACGGAGGGCAAGGGGTCCCGGGACCTGGTGCTGCTCATCCCCAGCATCGTCCTGGGCGTCCTCCTCCTCGGCGCGCTGGTCTCCGTCGCCCTTCTGCTGCTGAGAGTGAAGGGGAAGTACGGTGGGTGGGAGTTCTCCAGGCACGGGAGAGGCTCGGGCCAGGAGGCGCAGGGCCGGGTGCCCAGCCGGGACCTGGTGGAACCAGCAGGGCTCCCAGGGCCTCGAGGGTCTCCCCAGCAGGCCCAGAGGGCGTGGACCCAGCAGGGTGGGCTCCCGGGAGGATCGGCCAGTCTGAGTGTGCGTGTGAGTGCGTGTGAGTGCGTGTGTGTGTTGCAGATGGGGTCTGGCTGAGGCTGACCCCAGTACACTGGGATTGGGCCAAAAACCGCCTTGTGGGTGCCCTGCCCCTCTGCCCCGCAGCCCTCCCTGCGGCCCAGAATCACCGGCACCTCCTCCCCACCGCCACCCCAGCAGAGAGCAATAGCTACCACGCCGTAGCCGGCGTCATCCCCAAAGAAGAAGGTAGGACATTGCTGTCCCGGGCAGGGGCGGACAGGCAGAGGCTCTGAGCCTGGGTCACAGTGGCAGCCAGCTAGGGCACCCGGCCCCACAGCCCCGGCCCGCTCTGCTCCCAGGGTGCCGGCCTTCCAGCTCTGTCCTTAGGGCCTCGGCTGCCCCACGCCTGCGTGCAGGCTCAGCGCTGAGCTCTGCTGTGCTGGTCGCCCGTGACATCGTCACTTCTCCCAGTGCTGCCCAGTTGGCTGCCGCAGGGCCCCGTGGAGATTTCCCTGGGAAGTGATTTCATGTCTTGGCTTTTGAGCAGAAAGTGGGATCGCTTTTCCACCCTTTGGGGTGTGCAGTGCAGATTCAGGAGTTTGAGTTTCATTGCTTGTGCTGGGGTTGGATCTATTTGTGTCCAACGACACAAACCCACCCGGCGTCGGGGCTCTTTGAAAGAGATGCAGATGCAGCATCGTGAGGAGCTGGGCGGGGGCAGCCACTGCCTGAGTGACCCCGGGGCAGCCTGAGTCCAGGCTGGGCAGTCCCTTCCCAGGGCATGGTGAGACCACACCATGCCTCGGTTTCCCTTGAAGACTCACGATGAGGGTTAATGGGATCCATTAATTGGAACAGTTGGCTAGGTGTGTAAACAGGCCTTAGCTTCCCATGTTGGAGTTTCGAGGGGCCTGCAGGTTCCAGCCGTGGTTGGCCCACGGCTCCTGCCTCAGCCTGCCTTCTGCCACCTGCACTCAGTGGCCCTCTGCCCACGATTTTCTGCCCCTGGCAGTGCCATCCTGCCCTCGGCCGCCCAGCCACCCTCTTCCCTCCCCAGTTCCCCAGCCACTGGCCCAAGGCCGGGCCGTGTGCCCCAAGGACTCTGACTCCAGCTCCGGCTCCGACTATGAGCACTACGACTTCAGTGCGCAGCCGCCCATGGCCCTGACCACCTTCTACAGTGAGTGCCAGAGGCCTCCTCGCCCCACTGCCTACCTGGACGTTGGGCCCCTGGTGCCTCCCACTGGGACCGCACTGTCTGTCTGTCTGTCCGTTGCCACCACGACCAGGGCGGACACTCCCTGGAAGGCGCTGCCTCTGTCCTCTGCAGGGCACCCTGTGCCCTGCCCCACCTCCCGCTGTCGCCCCTGGCTCGGGCCCCGGGGATAGGATGAGGGAGCCAGACACGAATTTCGGATGGCGTGGGAGTCTGGCTGTGTTCAGAGACCTGCAAGGACAGGGTCCCTAGAAGCCAGGGGCTGGGCCTCTTCGTCTGCCCCTGGGGGTCCCTGAGACGTCACTCTGGTCCTTGTGGTCCAGGATGGCTCACCCACCACAGGGCCCACAGCAGCCAGCGCGAGGCCACACTCAGGCTGCCCAGCTCATCCATGCACGTCCCACACCCAGCACAGACCCGCTGGCTGGAGGGGACGGGCGGGTGCTGCACCCTGGGCAGCTGCGGGTCCAGCTACAGCCAGCGCCCCTGCCCTCCCTGCTGGCCCTGGGGATCCAAGTGGGACACAGAGGGCTGCACTGCTGCCACCCTGTGCACTGGTGTTCGGGAGCCACGGGAACCAGGTGTCCGTGTGTTGGGACCAAAGGCAGCAGTGCCGGCTCCACGGAGCCAGTCCCAGCTGCCGGGCACCCAAGGCGCCCAGACTCTGGGTCTCTGATTAGAGGCCGGAGGCCCACAGAGCCCACATCCAGACCTCCTGGCTTCCGTCCCAGGAGGCTCTCAAAGGATGCGCAGTGGCCCGTTTCTGGGCCCGGGAGGGAAGCCAGGCGGTCCTGCCATCCTCGGGGCTGGGGCTGGGCCTGACACCTGGGCTGGTGGAGCAGCTGTGCCCTCCCCACTCCGCCCTGCCTCCTGCAGATTCTCAGCGGTACCGAGTCACAGAGGAGGAGGCCCAGCAGAGCCGGTTCCGGATGCCGCCTTTGGAGGAGGGTGAGGGTGCTGGAGGGAGGCTGTGGAGGGAAGGGGACGCTGGCCCTGCTCCAGCCCCGAGCCCCAGCCTCCTGCAGCTGCCAGCCCGCCATCCTCCATGCAAGTCCCTCCTGCAGCCCGCTGTGGGGCGCTCTTGCTGGGTCGCCGCTTTGGTCCTCACTGTCTCCATTCCTGGCCAGGACTTGAAGAGCTGCAGGTTCCCCCTGTGCTGGCCGCCTTGCCGGGACCCTGTGCCACAGATGCCGCCCTGGGGAACCCTCAGCGTCGCCATGGGGATGACAGTGGGTCCAGCACATCTTCCGGCGAGGACTACTCCAACAGCCCCAGCAGCAAGGCACTGCCCTGGAGCCTCCGCGCGTTTCCCCTGGAGCAGAGCCCGGGCCTGGAGCTGGCAGGGCCCCAGATGCCTTTCCCAGGTGGCGGTGAGTCCTGCGACCCAGGCCTGGAGCCTGGTGGGAGGAAGCCCCACACTGGAGCCCGAGCCAGGCAGACCCAGCCTTGCCATGTGGCGTTGCCCATCTGCCCCGTCTCTGGGCCTTGCGTCCTCCCGGGTCAGGCTGCGGATGTGGCTTTCCTGCGTCCCCGGGCTCTGGCGCTGGCTGTCGTGTGCTGGCTGAGGTGACTTGCTGGCCTGGGGTTCCACAGGGCCCCCTGAGGACGACAGCTCCAGCACCTCCTCCGGGGAGTGGTACCAGAACTTCCGGTCGCCACCCCAGGCCCCCTCCACGGAGCAGTTTGAGTGTCCAGGTGCTGGGCAGGGGAGGGGACAGAGGGGACCGCTGGAGTGGGCACTGTCAGCCCTGGGTGGGGTGAAGGGCAGGGCTGGGAGGGAAGGGGCAGAAAGACAGAGACCCGGGAAGCTGGGACCCAGCCGGCCCTGTGAAGGCTGCAGTCGCACCGGGGCCCGCACCGTTGCTCATCACGCACACTGCGACAGCCAGAGGGGCCCAGCCCCATGGTGACGGTGAGGCCCTGCCCACGGGTCAGTCTGGCCCAGAGAGGGCAGCCCGGAGAGGCCGCAGTGCTGTCTCACGGCGTCTGGGGAGTAGACACGGGCCCCTGACCCGAGTCTCCCCCCAGGTCCCCCCAGCCCCCAGCCGGACTCCTCCTCCGAGGATTATGATGACATCAGCGCAGCCTAGGGAGGCCCCGGCCCGGCTCCCAGAGGTCCCCCTACCTCCTGCCACCCAGGTCACCTTCGTGGGGCTGAGGCCTTCCCGGGACGGCAGGACCCAGCTGTGCATCGAGCAGCGGCCCAGGGAAAAGGCGGGGCCCAGGGGCAGGGACCCTGCAGACTCCGGGCTCAGGCAGCTCGGGGCCAGACTGTGGGTGGGCAGGGCAGCGCAGGGCCCGTGGACCTTGAGTGTGGCAGCCGAGCGCCCACAGGAGCCTCCGAAGCTGCAGGGATGCTGCCCTGTCCCAGCTGCCCCAGCCCACAGAGATGTCCCAGCCACTGCAAAGGCCCGAGCCCGGCCCAGGCCCCTGGGACGCAGGACAGTCGCTTCCAGCAGGGCCGGGCTCGCCGCCCAAATGCCCGCTCCTGGAGGGACATGCGCACAGGCCTGCCACACCACAGCCACCAACCTGCGTGGGCACGGATGGGGGTGGCCCCCAGGGCTCCCAGTGTGCTGAGATTAAACTGAGTCCCTGGAAAGCCGGGACGTGGTGAGCATGGCCAGTCCTTGTGCTCTGGGAGTCTGGGGCGGGGTGTGAGTTCACACGAGTGTGTGGTACATGCAGTCTCCTCCGCAGCAGAGGAGGCAGCAGAGGGGCCGACCTCCATCTGGCACGAGAATGTGGCAGAGAGTCGAGGCCCAGCAGGGGACACAGCCCCCAGGGACCTAGCCCTGTCCCCTGTGCAGCCCGAGCCCTGAGCCCCAACTGCCCATGCAGGTCTGGGTGAGCCAGGCCCTGAGCAGAGGAGCTGGTGCCAAAGGACCTGCTGTGCTCAGGGGCCTGGGGAGGAGACAGTGGGGACCAGGCCAGGGCTGTGGTTCCCATGGAGCCCCAGGAGCAGGTGACAGGAGCTTGGGGGCCCTGAGTGTCCTTGTGGGGGTGACACATTCTGCGGGGCCCAGAGCTGCCTCCAGCTGCCCTCCTGGGTGTGGTGGTCCGAGCAGCTGCACCTGGCTATGTGGCCCCTGCTGAGGTCCTTGAGCCTGGCCTTGGCCTTCCAGGGGCTTGGCTGTGGGCTGCGGAGGTTAGAGCCCCAGCAGCGAGCCTGCCCTCCCCCTGCCAGAGCCCCAGAGGAGAGCCAGAGGGCAGGTCTATAATCTCCAGGGACAGATGGGCGGGACAGACACCAGCCTTGGGGGAGCAGCTCCTAGGAGGCCCAGTGAAGCGAGCCTAGGGCCTGTGAACCCGCCCAGCGCCACCAGAAGCTGGGTCCAGATGCATCAGGGGAGCCCCTCGCTCCCTTGGTCCTCAGTTCTTTGTACCATTGGTGAAAGAATTTAATCAAGACACAGGCAAGCAGGCATGGTGGTGCACACCTGTGACCCTAGCACTGGGGAGTCTGAGGCAGGAGGCAATCTGAACTACATAGCAAGATCCTGTGTCAAATGAACAACCGCATAGGCCAGGCAGAGGCCTAGGTGGAGTTTACTGTGAAGTAGGTAGAGTTCTGGCTTCCTGAGCGGGAGTCTGGATGCTTCTTATGCCCTCAGAGGTGGCCACTGGGTTCAGCCACACCTTACGCAGAAGTCATTTACGATTGAAGGCCGTCTCCTGCCCCTTTAGAAGTCAGCATCTCCTTGGGGACTGCGAGCCCATGAGACACTCACAAAGGATGAGTTCGTCACAGAAACCTGCCATTGGTGCTGGGGACACCAAGGCTGAGGCCAGGAAGGGCAGAGCTTTGCCTGCGGCTGACCCGCATCCCGGGAGGGCCTGCCCAGGGGTGGCGAGGTCCACAGTGGAGTCTGCAGCTGGGTGCCAGCGCTCTGCAGACTCCTGTTCATCCCTGTGCTCCCCGAGGGGACCGGGACCCTGAGGGCTCTGCACACAGCAGCGGGGAGCCCTCTGGCTGCGCTGCGTTCAGAGCCAGGTGGAAAGTTGCCCCACCACTTCCTCCAGCTGTTTACCTGCAGCCTGGCATCCTGACATGAAACGTGGCCGCCACCCACCCGGGGGAGGAAGACACCACCAGGAAGATGAGCCAACAGGGGCAGGAGGGGGGAAAGTCGGGGCAGAGCCAGGAAGGGATAGCGGCCCCCGAAGCCACCCGTGTCCCTCGGCAGCCTCACAACCCGGGCTGTCAGGGTCCCACCGCTCCCCATGGGAAGTGACGCGGTGTCACAGGGTTCAAGGTCAGCGGCCGGGATGGGGCCGCGTCCCAGACCAAGGCAGTGGGGGGAAGCCCTTGGAGTCGCGGCAGGGAGGCCCTGTCCACCATGGGGCAGGCGCTTTCCTCTGGTGCCTCCTGGCTCCCGGCAGGGCCACCGCCCCCCGAGTCGGGCAGGGCCCCGTCTTCCCTCGGAGTGGCCTGCTCTGGGTCCCGCCGTCACCCAGGGATGGGCCTGTCCTTGTCCTCGCCCACACTCACCCCGCACAGAGACCTGGGCTCTGTCCCCTCCCACAGCCTCTGCCTGCGTGCGAGCGCCCAGGACATGCGCTGAGGTCCAGCCCTGCCCGCTGTGGGGAACCTGGGCCACGGGGGTCCTGGCATCACCGCTAGGGTCCCTGCTGGCCTTCCTGTCGCCCACTGGGTCCCCTCAATGGCCGCAGTCGGGACCCCGGGCACCGTGCCCCGGCCAGCACCCGTCCTCTGCCCCTAAGGGCCCAGCACCCACTCTGCCCTGGCCCTGGGCAGCCTTGGTCATCGCTTCGTCCTCCGTCCACAGCCCGGTGTCCCCCGCGTCCCCTGGGACAGGACCTGGGCGAATGGAGATCGTGGAGACGACGTCTCTGAGACCCACTGTCTGGGCGCCTCGAGGCTTTGCTGTATCTGTGGACCCTTCGTGCTTTGGATCACTTGATAAGTTTTTTAAAATTCGACTCAATTTTTTCAAAAGTAAATTTATTTTTAAAGGAATCTGGACGTTGTGCGCAACACATGTGGTGTGTACTTTTCAAAACCAGCAGGGTCACAAAATACAAAGGCCCGGGTGGTTTCAGGTTAAAGAAAAGAGACCCGGGGACCGGGTGCCGTGGTCCGGGTCCTGGTCGGGTCCTGGTCGTGGTCGTCTTCCTCTGCCCGCCCCTCCTCCCTCCTCTCCCGCCCTCCCTTCCTCTCTGTCTGCCTCCCCTGGCTCCCGGCTGTGGACTCAGCTGCAGCTTGGTCCCTGCAGGGAGGATGAGGGCCACACAGCTGGGCAGCACATGGCAGCAGGCGCCGGCCAGGCATGGGGCTTCCCCACCTGCTCACAGGGCCCACCCAGCCCAGCGGGGCGCGAGGGGTGAGCGGCCGGGTGCCCGCGCCCCATAGCCACCTGCAGTCAGTTTGTTCCTGGCACAGCGGCGCCCTGATTCCCCTGCCTGAGCCTTGCCGGCCCGGTCCCAGGGCGGGGGCCAGAGCCCTCCAGGCCCTCCCCATGCGCAGTGCACAGGCGTGCTTGAGGCTGAGCCCCGGGAAGAGGGTCTCATGACACACGCTTGGCCACAGAGGGAAGCTCTCGGGACACCTCAGCCTGGCCTCGGGGTCCACCCGCCACCCCCGTGTGACTTCCGAGAAGAGCCCAGCTCGGCTTCCGAGTCAGGCTGCCAGGCACCGTGCCGCTGGGCCGGGACCCCACTCGGGCGTGCGGCGCGGGCTGGCCTCGGGCTCCCTCTACCTCTGCCTCTGCGTCTGCTCCCCCACCCCGGGCCAGGCCTCCTGTGCCGTCGCTGAGCCTCTGCGGCAGTCAGTCTGCTGTCCCTCTTATTTCCATAAACAGCTGCACCGCCACCGAACACCTGTGTCCCACAAAGGCCTTCAGAAGGTGTCGGTGGCGCCAGCGCTCTTGTTCCTGACCCAGTTGTCATCAGGAAGCGGCTCCGCCGGCTCCTCCCCGTCCTGTGCCCCATTGCCTCCCTGCCGCCTCCCAGGCCGGGCACAGCTCTCTGGGTCCCTGTGACCCAAGCCGTGGGAGTCCTGGTCCCTCGTGAGCCGCGAGTGCCCCCTCTGAACACAGTCCCCGCGGCCTGATATTTATCCTGCAGGAGGAAGTCGCCAGAGGCAAAGACAGATTCCAGTGCCCTGGGTTCGAACACTTCTCCTGTATAGGCTGTTTCGTTCCCTTTGTGCACACCCCGGCACTGACCATGTGGCTGGCCCTGGACAGCACAGGCCCCCAGCCCAGCGTCGCTGTCCCCTCGTCAGGGCCTGCTCCCGAGGTGCCTGGCCAGGCCGGGGTGACATCAGCTAGGACGGGCCCGCACATCCGCCCGCTCCCTGAGGGGCCCACAAAGTCTAGGGCTCTGCCCACCACTCTGCCCAGCTCTGCTAGCAGCCTCTGCGGCCCAGGACAGCCAGGACAGTGGGCATTGCATCTGGACAGCTGACACACACCGCCCTTCACACTGAGGTCCTGGGCTGGGACTGCACGCTCTGCACCAGGATCGCCACCTCCCGGGGCAGCCCAGGTGCCCACTCAGCTGCTTTGCACGGAAGTGTTGCCGCCTCCCGGCTCAGTTTTAAAGGGAGATTCACCAGAGGCATCAGCCATTGATACGTGGACCCTACCACGTTTGCTGATTGACCAAGGGACCTGAAGCACAGACCCTGGCAACCAGGACCCGGGACCTCAGGGACACCCTAGGCACAGGCAGAACTGGAGCTGAGCGTTCCCCTTCGACACGTGGCTGCGTCCCTCCTGGCTGGGGTGTCAAATGTCACGGGAGACCTGGGAGCCCACAGACCTC